TTGAATGAACTAAGGCAATCCATTCGAGAAACAATTGCAGCTATTCGTGTCTCAACTCTCCAAGCAGTAATGAACAACTTTTTGCTAAGATGCCACACATGCATCAACGAGCAGGGGGGGGGCATTTAAATTCCATTATTTTTTAAACTAATTAAGCTATATTTAATAAAATGGAATGAGCTTTAACATGAATAAAAGAAAAATGAATTCCATACACTGAAAAAAATAATAATAATTTGAGTTTCTTAATGAAGCAAAATTCATCAGCCACCCTATATTTATGCTAAGCAAATTGTAACTGTGAAGAGTATTATAGCTTCGGTGCGGAAGATTTTTCTTGCTATGTACAAAATTTTATTCGTATTTTTCACTTTTTGCTTTCACATAGGCTCTCAAACGATTTCCATTGATATTGAAGACCTTCCAAACAATTTTTGAGAATCTTGCTGGCAAACTTTTCTCCTGTTTCAATTGCGATTACTGCCTAGTCAGTGTTTTTTGTACTCTTGCAACCAGTTGCTACAGAGTAATGATAGTTTTGTCCACTTTAAAGTTGTATGTACCATCTAAAACTAATCGAGATAGAAAAACAAAACAAAAAAAAAAAATGTTGGCTAGTCTTAGCAACACCTTCTCTTATCGAACGACAAAGCTTATTGAACAACTAAGTATCTCCTAAACCACTAAAGCTACAGCAACCAAATTCGCACAATCAATGAAATCGGATGAAAACCCCGTTCACTCCCCATATAAAATCAATAACTAAATGCGCAAGAGACCCAAAAATTTACCGCCAGGATGGTATGACAAGGCTTTATAGGAACCAGGGTAAAAATTGGACGATGGACGCCTACTTTTTGTGAAGTCACATATCTCGGGACCCGATTTCTACAAATTTTCTATATGGTATTTTTTTTCATATTTCTATGTTACGTTGTGAAAATGAGCGAAATCGGACAATAACCACGCCTACTTTCCTTTTGGCATAATTTTAAGTTCTAATTGATTCTTTTACAAATACCGGAATTAAACCTTACACGAATAATGCCTTTAGTGTATGTCACCTTATGACCAAAAATTGTTTAAATCTAATAAAAAGTGTTCAAGATCCTACCGAATACTTGATTCCCTTATCTATAGTTGACTTTTGGTCGAAAATATCGTTGAATGTGTGAGATATATAATTAAAATTCAGGGATAGTACTTCTCTGACAATGGTATGTCTGTATGTTAAAAATGGCTTGAACAGGAATCAGGTGAGCTCCCATATTTCTAATATAAAGATAATCGAACTTTCGGGTGACTATGTACCACATATATCGGCAAATATGTGAGTTATCTAAATGAAAATGAGCTAACATATTTTACTCATAACAGTGTATGGTATCTTTGTGCCCAAAATAGATAAATTTGAGCGAAAACTTAACTTACCCCCCATATAACTAATATTAGGATTTTCGAACATCCGGCTGGCTTTTCTTTATATGGTTAGTGTTTTACTATGTGACATGTTAATAGTATGTGGTATTGCGAAAAATAGATAAAATCTGGTCGATACTATTCCAAAAGCCGTATACTACATATAATGGTTTTCGTTTATCTAAAAAACCTATTATATATCTCAGTTTGGGAGTTATATATATTAAATGTATGTATATATAAAATTGCTTGGACTTCGATCCTCCGGTTGACGTTTTACACTATAAAGTATTTCTCTGCGTTTGATTTTTATAAATTGTAAGAATATAATATAGTCGGTTGCAATCAAACTTAGCCCTTACTTACTTGTTATACTTTGCGGCTTTTGTTATTGAAATCAGTACTTGGGCTTATGCATCCGGAGCTCTCTATATTAAAAAAGGTTCAATTTTTTTTTTTTTCAAAATTTCCTTCTTTGCATTCTCATGCTATGATATACATAAATGTAAATATACCGTTAGACAGCCCCCCATACCCTTACTTGTGTGCGTAAAAGCCACGGAATATTGGTCGTGTAAATAAGTTGGGGTGTGAATTTATTTCATTTTACATTTTAATTAGCATAGAAAACGAGATAATGTCAATATTGATCAACTGTAGGACTTTTCCGCCTGGTTTTTGCTCGCCATTACAGGGAAAAGGTGTGAAAATCCGGCTTTAATTAATTTGTCACATTTCAACAATTTCGTACGGTTTTGTATTATGTCAAATATTTCTGCATGTTTTGCCGTTAACTTTGTCCGGCATTATTGTGTGGTTTTAGCGAGATTTTTCTGTGTGGTTAACCGCTATTTGCACGAAGAGGTGATGCGAATATGCTTAAACATTTTTAATTGGCTGTTATATGCTATAATGCAATGTTAGTCAAAGCGACTGTGAAAGAAACTAGTAGGCAAGGGATGAATTATAATTACCTTTTACAACAAAAAAATATTGCTTTTTTCATTATCAAGTCTCATGACATGATGGAAGAGTATTCTTCTGAGCGCTTGGAATAATTTCAACGAAT